TAATATTGCCAGAGCTGGGTGGAAAAAAAACAGACATAAAATCAAATAATACAACTGCTTGTATATGATAAATATAAGAGGTAATATAAGACTGAGATTTTTTTTTCAATAACTTGGTAATAACTTCTTCAAATTATTGTACACATAACAGTAAAACTCTACAATAATAAAACTAGAGCAGAAGGAATATCAAGAAGTTTGGCTGGGGGAACAAATATAAGCTACCATAAATATTGCATGAACTGTCTAGATAAAAATGCTTTCATCATCATTAATGTTCAGCCTCTTTTAATTATTGATATTTGCTTGTCAGTACTGTTTGCCACTAAGTCTGTTTTTGCTTATGCATGTCATTGAGGTTTGATACATCGTAAAATGTCAAACAAACCTCTCTTTGAAAGATGCCACTCTCACACCCTGAACACCAACAACTGACAGAAGGACAGTCAGCAACTGTAAGGTTGGGAAGTAGAGAAACAATGATCAAGAAAAAAAAACTGAAATTATCATAGAAGGTTTATGGGGTGCTAGTGGGCAATCAGAAAATAACTCCCAAATCAGGTAAACAGCATTCCCATGCAACTGCAATTTCACCTCATACTGCAGGAGGGAAATATTTTGTTTTTTCAATCTAGTTTTTGCTTCTCATTACTTAGACACTTCTCATTACTTAGCCTCATTATAATTGCAACATTTACCTGTTGTTCCATCTGTGTCTGGAAAGTCCTGTACTCCGTGGAGGTGATGTTGAGGTACTCTGCTGACCAAGGCTTGGTGAGGGTCATGGTGGCTGATCGAGTCACAGTCACTGACCATTAAAAATGAGAAAAAAGTTTGGTCTATCTATTTATTATAGGTGGTGCCAATCTCTTTTTCTATGAGCCTTGCCACAGGGTTGTAAGGAAAGGTGAATAGAATTCTTTTGTGAACACATGTTAGGCGACTAATTGTTTTACCGTAGTTGAAGAAGTGATTCAACTGTCTATACCATGAGCATTGGTATATCAGATTATATACATGTACAGGTTCTTCTGCAGTACTAAGAAAAGCTAGCTGCCATGGGTTCCAAAATATGAACATTACTTATATAAGTCAAGACCTAACCACATACCAATGCCAAAGAAATCCATCCATAGCTTCCAGGATCATGGTGCTTATTAAACCACAGACACCATAACAAAAGCTACTAGTATTAAGAAATAACATTCTAGGCAAATGTAATAACTGACAATAGCCACGCAGGAGGTCTTGATACAGAAACAGCATCATCATCATCATCATCATCATCATTCATCCTCCGTAGAGGTGGAGCATACAAAGTTAGTTCTCCACAACTGTCTGTCATACATCACTGAGAAAAGTTCAAGTCCCTCCAAGCCAGTTTCAGTTTCAATAAGTTTCTTAACTGTTATGTTTGGGCGTCCAACTCTTCTCTTACAGGTATCAGGGTTCCAGAGTAGAAGCCTACTGGCTGGTTCTTCACTACGTACTACATGACCGGCCAAGCTTAGTCGTCGACATTTGACTACTGAAGTTACATTTGGTAGCGAACCGTATAACTGTTCATTAGTAGTGTGTTTCCACCATGGTGTATTGAAAACCACTCGCAACATCTTCGTGTATGTTCCGTTTAGTTTTCTAGAATGTGACATATTCATGACCCATGATTCTGACCCATACAAAAGAATTGTTTCAATACATGCCTTACATGAGACAGCATCACACTACTAATTTTATGGTCTATACTTACCGTCCTTTTTGACGACAGCTGAAGTGCTGTTGACAGCCAGTGTCCCCACCTGGCCAGTCGTGATGGCCGCTGTGAATGCCTGCTGGACTTCTGTGGAAGCATGGTCTGCCGTGATGATTCGTAAAACCACGGCAACACTACCGCCCCTTTAGAAAAATACATATCAACCCCTGATTAGCAACATACCATGTATTTTGATCCCCCAATCAATGTTCCTAACTGTAACAATTATATAATAATGTGTTGACCTCCAGGAACTCAAGAGGTACTTTACACAACTTTCCTAACTCCACCCAGGTGTAACTGGGTACCTGACTTCGGGTGGGAAAAGTCGTATTGAGGTCACCTGGCGCTGAATGGCTGCCGTATAGACCCTTGCAACAGTTTCAAAAAAGTGTGTGGAGCAAATATGTTGTATGTTTTATGTGCATTATGTGATTGTTTATGATTATTAATGTTATTATTATTATAAGACATTCCTAACCAAAGCTTGGTTTACTGAAGTTAGATATCATATAAAGTGTATTTTCTAAACGCACAACAGTGGGGCCTGCCAGGGATCTGAACCCAGAACCTTCAGGCTCTCAACAAACTCCCCAAACTACAATGCCGCCTTACAGAACAAGAATTCACACGCTCAGGGAGGCCACTTATATTTAACCCTCAACAGTACACCTTCCCGGACTGATTAATCTGTACACCTGGGGTCCGCAGTTTTTTGCTAATTCTTAGAAATTATCAACATGATACCAGCTCAATTATTTTGCAAATTGATGTGTGAACCTCTGAGTCCACATCACGTACAAAAATCATACATTTTGACTTTTTCCTATTTTTTGGCGATGAAAAGACAAAGAGAAGAAAAACCCGATTTTTACACCCTATTCAGACCGAGTGTTTTTTTTTAGGCTCGCGCCAACTTTAATCTCAGATAGCGCCTGAACAGCTTAAGCTAGAGCCATCAAATTTGGTGACCTTTCCTAAAATGCATCTTGGAAAAAGTTCATATTGGTTAAATAAGTTAATGATTTTTTTGTGTTGCCTTGGCAACGGGTTTCTGACAGGCAGTTTTGTGGAAAAAATCAGTAATTTTGGTTTAAAGTTTAAAATCTTCAGGGATTTATATTCAATAAAACTTCCTTTCTGACATTAATAACATCTTACATAATTAAAGATAAGTTAAATCATTTAATATTCATAATATATTCTAATTTGATGACGTCATTGGTCAAAATCCAAGATGGCGGACCACATTATTAGCTTCGACGTCATATGACGTCATAATTACACTAAAATTGTTAGAATTTAATTCTATTAGTACACCATTTTCTGAAAATTTGTTGGCCATACGATAAGTGCATAAAACATATTAAAACGGAAATAAGGTAATGTATAAGAACGCCAGTGTATCCATTATGATCGAAAGCCGGCTGGGGTCCGCGCGGACCCCAAAAGAAAATCAGATATAATTTTTTTTTTAAAGGGGGAAACTAAGTTTTCTGCACTGTATTGAGGGACAACTTTGTGGGTGACAATTACCTGAAATTCAGAAGAATATCTTTACAAACAAGAAAAATATTACAGGATATATAGTGGGGGGTCCGCGCGGACCCCAGGTGTACTGTTTAGGGCTAACTTGATTCAATCCAACTTTATGACAATGTACATGACATTGCACATTGCATGTTACACTGATACAGTACCTTTAGTACTTAGTGTTTCATTACATGTGCATACCTAAACCATATAATAGAATACAAATCTAGCAAGAAGGTCAACATTTGGCTGAAACATATAGTCACTACAATGAATTGCAATAGCAACAGCAGGCCAATTATGTTACGCTAAGCACTTTATGTTGTTATACCATTAAGGTAACTAATAAAATACAATGTACTTACTGCTGTACAAAGTTGGATACCACAACTCGCTGGAATCCTATCACGTTCACAAACTGCAGGGCAAACTGTGGTAGGGAAATTGAAGAAATTATGTATGAATTCAAAGTAACACGGCACTACATGTTAAAAGGCATTTTTTTGTGTTTCGGTACTTTGCCCCAAAGCAACACATCAAATTACTAATAAAAAAACTATGAACTATTTGTTGAACTCTTTGAAGATAAATGAGCAAGACCTGGGATAATTTTTTTTTTACAAATTGTGTCTTACTGTTTCCTCCACTTGCTTCTGAAGGCTGGTATAGGCTACTGAGGACCGGCTGGTCAAGTTGGCTGACCACTGCTGGCTTAAGGTCATCTGGGCAGTGTTGGACACTGTCACTGTAGTATGAAGAGCAATGCATGATTAGTGCATATTCCTTTCAATGTTATTCCTTTTTTCTCCCGACCACTAAAACAGTTCTGAAAACTAAATAACAGTTCTGAGAACTTATTTGCCACACGACTACACAATCAAGCAATTCAGTCTTTTGTAATCTTACATAATGCACTAACAGACAGTACATCTTCTGGAAATGCATGTCTTAAATCTCTTACTGATTTACGTACATGTACATAATAGGTTCATGCATAACAAGTACGTGTAATGTATCATGAAAGAAATATACAATGTGTAGATCAGACTGAAGATATTTTCTCTATCTACCATACACGGCAAAGGTAAATAAAAAGCATTTAAAAGTACTCATGACTCAAAAATAAGTCTGTACAATACCATTCAAATATCGGAAGTGTACATACAATATAGTCACTTGAAGTTTGTTCCAATCATCATGACTACATAATTAAGCTTGTACGGCATTCTAAAAGTGAATATTTTTGGAGACTCTTAAGCAAGCTTCCCAATCGCCCACTTCGGGCATCTCTATTTGCATCTCTGTGTTTTATTTTTGCATTTCTGTGCTCGTTCCTAAGCTGAAATCACTGGGTGAAGTCAGCTCAGGAAAAAATACAGACATGCAAAAAAAAAGAGATGCAAATTACCTGCCAGTACTGGCTTCTGCTCACTTTTCCAAGGCAGGGCGTTAGAATTTCGAATATACCAGGAGACCGTGCATATTTATTGTAAATATGTCTGTTAGCCAGGTAATACTAGTTATGTCAATTACAACCTGCTAAAGTCATATTTTGGTGTCATGAGCACTTTAAAGCGTGCCTCCCTGAAGTATTGCATGAAACTTTGAGAGTATCGTATTATTCATAACTAATATGTATTTAGTAGACATGTTACTTTTCGATCTAGAATTAAGTAGCTAGAAATGAAGAAATTTTTAAACTTGTTGGACTAACCATCTTTGGTGACAGTTGCTGAGCTGGTGTCCACGACAATGTTCCCCACCTGCCCTGACTGTACCACAGTGTATACAGTCTGCTGTGCCTGAGACACGGCATACTCAACTGCCATGATGTGCAGGATAACTTGGATCTTCTGTTCAGACCTGTGGCAGGTAACGATATCCAAATAAGTTCATGTCCATATAAGGCTATGTGCCAGAAATACATGTAGGTGGGTCACTTTTCTTAAAGAAGAAAAAAATTGTTGGTTGAAAATTTATGGAAAGCACTAAGCTTAAAATATGAACTTTGAATTTTCTTTGCTTACAATAATACAAAACTAAACATGATATGAAATAACTACTTCTCAAAATTTGTGCAAAATAGTTGACAAAAGGTCGTTAAAATAAAAGTAAAAGGTCTTACTTCATTTGGCTTGATTCAATATCTAAGTGTGAATTACATGTATTAGTCTAGCACCAGCACATTTTCTATCCTCCCTAAGTATTAAATCTAGGAATTCCATACAAATTCTACTCTATTTTTATAGATATATATAGATAACTCTAGATATGGACAAACGACAAAATGTGGTTTAGACAACTTACGTTTGTTTGAACCTGGCCACAGTGACAGCCTGAAAACCTACTGTTTCTAATAGAGACTCCCTTATCTGTGCAAACAGAATCATAATATCATGTTACTACTTTAACACTGTATAGCAACTTAACCACGAAACACACATAACTATGTTTATTTGATAGTACATTTCTGAGTCTGATATAATAGTAGGCATAGCTTTTCTTAACCTGTAAGTTTAAACATCAAATGTTCTCCATTGATTTATTGAAATAATGATGATAATCCACAAAACAGATTATATAAAAGAAAAATGATGAATGTAGCGATAGACTTACAGATGTTTCTATTTGTATCTTCAGAGTTTTGAAGGTCATTGAGTTTACATTCAGTAGGTCAGGGTTCCAGGGTTGTTTCAAGGTCATGCTAGAGGTCACAGACTGAGCAACTGCATGGGGGCAAACAGTAATTCATCAATTCAATTCAATTTCAATTATTTATTAAGATATCAAACATAACAGACAAACATGACATACAATGTTGCCTGAATGGCGTTGATATTTACACGATAAAATGTCAAAAATTTATATATTTACAACAATTATAAAAACTGTACAGTAGTTGTACAACCCAGATATCTACAAGGTCCATTATCCTGTGCCAGACTCTATCTGTACAGTCCGGTTATAGAGTCTGATTGACTGGTGGAGGAAAGAGTTCTGTAGTCTTTTTCAAGTCAACATTCCTGATGCATTTCATCAAATGTGTTATGATCCAATCAACATTACAACATTTTTTTCCTGAATCATAGCAATCTGATAATAAATTACACATTGAATCAACAAAGAATTTTTTACCAACGTGCTACTTTAACCAGTATTTCAACACCAAGGACATTGTCTATTTCGAATGTTAAAAGTAAATGATTCTACAAGAATTCTAACAAATAGAACGAGACTACTTTTTTGTCACTGTGACTTCAACGGCGTGAAAAATACCTGGTTGCCCAGTTTCTCCCGGGCAACAAAATTTTACTTGGGGCAACCTTTTTTTGGAACCTAAGTAGCCCAGTGTGCTACCTGAATTTCAAGAATGCCCCCCCCCCGAAAAAAAACTCATCCCACTTGGCTTGCACCGCTGTATCCGGCAGTTGCTTTTTAATTTTAGGTATTCAGGGCTATTACTAGTATCAGTTAACTAAAGGTTGTTAGAAATATTGTCAAAGGCTTATGTATGTAACATTACCTAATTTGAGGAAAGTAGTAACTTATAGGTGGGGAAACCTAATATTCTGATGGGCAACCTAATTTTTGCCGAAGGTTGCCCACTTGGCAGCCTGGTTTAAAAAACGTATTTTGTACACTGCTTCAAACACAGGTTAGTATAGAAGATTAATGCAAGATCATCAAGAACATTTGTTTTTCATCAGCAAGGCTACATGTACTAGTATTTATTTCTGCTGGCGTGCAGTAATTTTGTAGTAGCTCAGGCCAGTCATTCTGTAGTAGACTTACCATTCTGTTTGACTGTCACAGCTACTGTCTGATTGACACTGATGGAACCAATCTGTCCCTGGTTTACTGCACTGAGCAGGGATGTCTGGACTTGAGACGAGGCACGATAACTCGTGGACAGTAGGCGTATAACCACACGGACTGTGTTGCCCCTATATATAAGAAGATTATTTAGATTTGTCAATCACAGTGCTAAAACTATTCTTGTCATAATTGTAATGAAACTGTTAAGGCAGCCAAAGTCTTCACAATTGTTCACAGATGATTAAGTTGCCAAGGAAAAATAGAGAATATATCTGATGCCTGGATGTTTACTATCATGATGATGTATTATGTATTTTCTTTAAACATTTGATTTCATGTAGTGTTTAAGGTTCCAAAGTTGTTTCATTTTAATCTAATTAGGAATCTTAAATATGATATATATTTTTCTATGTACACATTTGCATTAAGAAGTACTGAATCTTAATGACTTACGATTGCTCAAAGCTGGACACTGTAACTTGCTGAAATCCTTCAGTGCCTCCAAGTTGTTCAGTGAACTGAATAAGAAGAGATGTCAGTTATTACTTTCTTACTGTGTAGTTACTGAACTACAACTACTACTACCACAACTACTACAACTACCACTACTACTACCACCACTACATCTACTGTTATCCAAAGTACATGTTGTAATTAGATTGATATGTATAGACTTAGTCCAATTGTCTAAAATGTATACATTGTACATTACTTGGTTTGGATAATAATTTCTTGTCAAGCCAAATTTGAAGTAGTTGTTTTACCTGTTGAGTGACTGTCTTTCTGAGTGTGCTGAATGCCTGGGTTGTTGTGTTGGCATGGTCATTTCTCCAGGACTGTGTTAAAGTCACAGACACGGTGGACGATACAACAACTGTAAAAAGAGATAGCAACTCTGAGATAACAAGTTTTAACTTGTTAATAGATCATAACAACTGAAAACCGCTTTTACTTTAGTCCCCTAGGTGGCCTTCTAGGTCAGATTTGACTATAATTTCCTTTTCATCCAGATTCATGCTAAAACATATATCGCCAAAAAACCTTTCGTCAGTGACACTGGAGAATTAGCAGAGAAGCAGGTTTATAAGCACGAACTAAAACTTCTATCACTCACTCGCTACCATATCTATAGGTTAGGATAGTTTATTCTCATTATGAAAATAGTTGAATGTTTTGGATCCTTTGCATCCCAATGCTGTCTCTTCACCATCTATAATCATCATGATAGTTTTTGCACTCTAACCAGTATTTCAGTACCAAGGACATCACCAATAGGACAAGTAAGGAATTCTACAGAATTCTAAAAATTTGAAATTAAATGAGTAATTTAGCCACTCACTCACTCATTGGTTGAACCGCTAATTGCCATGCTACCATTGGCTGACTTGCTTATTGTGATGGACAGTCAGGGTCGTTGGAAAGCCTTCACAGGAGTGTTTCTTACCATCAGTCTTGACCATTGCAGACTGCCGAACCACACTAATCGTGCCAAGTTGACCAGACTGGACAGCAGTTTGGAATGTTGACTGCAGCTGGTTTGTAGCATAACCTGCTCCGTACACTGCTATGACTACCACCACTGTGTTGTTAACACTGAAGATTGGAACAGAACAAACTGCCTTCAGAAAGGTACAATGATGTACATGTAATTCTGAATCATTGCATTTTTTATTCCAACATTTATCACATAGACATAGTGATCGCGCACTTCATTATTTTTAAAACTAACTTTTATGCTGCCAAACACAGTGGACAAATGCAAAATTTTTACCTGAGTTAAGTGGGAAAAGTCGTGTTAAGTGCCTTTTACAAGAGCACAAGGTCAGTGGCATGGTAGAGTTCGAACTTGGGACCTGTTGCTTCTGAGCCAAACGCTCTGTCATTAAGCCACACCCCCCCACTAATCATTAAATTTCAAAAGATAACATGATAATGATTGCAGTTCTACAGATACTTCATTCATTCATTCATTCATGTATGCATTAATCCATTCATTCATTCACTAATTAACTCACTCACTCACTCACTCACTCACTCACTCACTCAAGAAAACCACATGCACCTATTTGGTATGGATACCTTAACATAAAAAGCAAGCTAACTGACCCTTGTTTGATGTCGACCACTTGTAGAGTCTGAAAACCAGTCACTGCTACTAATTCTAAGGTCAGCTGTATTGGAAAATTACAAATGTTTACATTATGGATGGTACGTGTACGTGCATTGTGTCTCTAATGTATACAGAGATATAATATACACAGTCAAATGACAGAGACAACATACCTAAAGCTAGGACTCTACACTTGAAAAATATATATTTTTTCACATCGTGCAGTAAGACTTTAGAATGACAGTGATAATGGTTAATATTTGAAAACCCATGTCTGTCCTTTCCTGTTGTAGATTGAATGGTGTTTGAACATATTTGCATATAGTGTGTTTCTGTGCTATAGTGTGTTTTTTTAACCAATTGTAAAAATAGAATACATAATTCAGGGTTGCATTTAGCATTTCCTTTTTTTGTACGATTTTGTTGGATTGAATAAATTGAAATTGAACAGCTTTACTTAATCTGACAGTGTGTACTGCCTTACCTGTTCTTCTACTTGCTGCTTTAACTGTATGTACTGGACGGATGTCCTGTCAGCTAGACTCTGTGTCCAGGTAGTAGAGCCAATGGTCATGGACGTTGTAGATGACAGCACAACTGTTGATGAAGAAAAACTGGTCAATCAACCAATCAACCAATCGATCAATCGATCAATTCATCAATCAATCAATCAAGATCGTAGTATTTTCAGAAGAAGAGATAATGTAAATATAGTTTTGGTGCAAACTTCTTGAAAACTGCTGTAGTACAAAGGAAAGCTGCTAGGAGGTCCACAAATAACACGCATTTTCAAGATAGCAAGACCTTCCCACATACCAAATATATCATTATATCACCATAAGCTAACCACAACAACTATAGGTTAAAGAATTGTCCACATACACACACTGTACACATGAAAATACACCGTCATTCACACTCACACACACACACAGTATATAGATGACCAAAAAACACATATGGCAAACGCACTCTAACACACATACATGTAGATGACAGAAATATGCACACAGTGACACAGAGATGAAACACACAAACACCACACACACACACATGCAGCCCAAACACAATACCTCCTTTACGGAGGTAACAAGCATAATTCCTCACCGTCACGTTTAATGCTGACATTGCTGGTGTTGAAGGTCAGCTGCCCCACCCTGCCTGTGGTCACCAGTTGAACAAACCTGGTCTGGGCCATACTGATGGCATAGTACGTCGCAATGACACGTATCTTTGCCACAACTAGGTTGTTTTCCCTGAGGAAAAAAATTTAAAATGTTAGCCTATGTGTCTTTTCAAAACCTTATTTGGAACTTTGATAACCCCTACGTGGCCTACTAGGGTTGGTTTGCCAAGGCAATGCAATAAAAAGTTATTAGTTTTGCAAAAAACAATTATCCTATATTCTTAAATAATGGATAAGTTCCCCAGCTTTGGACATTTAAATGAATCAGAAAAATCCATATTTCTTATGAAACTTGACAAACCATGTATCACTAGTTCTATATGCTCGTACATCTATAACTGCGTCAAGAAGCGAGAAGAAGTCGAACAATGTAAATAGTAGATTACATTAGTATAATATAGTTTAAGTATCATTGCTGTATCCTTTTCCTTGTCTATTCATGACCTGTACTTAGCTTGTTAGAGCACAAACGTACAATAAAGGTCTTTCATTCATTAATGATTCCTGCTTTTTTTGTAAATCATAAAAACATTACAATAAAAGCTTTCAGAGACATTTGTGACATTCAATAGATATTCAGTGCCTCACAATACAATCAATATGAATAGTGCATTACACCTGAATGCTTCCTTCAAATACCGAGGAGCACAACACTGTAGTATGTATTGAAATAGCATGTCGGCAAAACGTACTGCACCTGCGCTTATCCCGTAAAATATGGTGCATTGCACTTCGGCATCTAATAAAGTCATATTTGAGCATATAAGGTTAACATCCTAGTGTGTAATTTCCAAATGTCATGTCAGAAAAGATATCGTCTGCAACAGACAAAATTTTGATGCAACGTTGACCAAACATCTAACGAAAAACCTCGAAATCCGGGATTCACACAGGCACAGTACGTTCTGCCGACGTGCTCATCAAAAATACTTACCCTGGACTGAAGCCAGCTACTTCCACTTTCTGCAAGCCAGACACAGTCTGGAACATCTGCTGGAACTTTCAATCAACAGGATTTTACATATCAATCAAAGGTTTGAGGATGTCAATCAAATTAAAGATTAAAACATAGTCACTGTGTCTTAAAAAAATAATACAATCTTTAAAGAAACTGTCACTGTTGACCAGCAAAATTACATCTACATTAACAACTAATAATTTTTTAATCCTTTCAAAATGTCAATTGTTACAGTGTTGGTAAAATATAACCACATCATCAATTAATTAATCAATAAAATCCTTACCGTTATCTGTATGTTATAGACCAGTTGTTTGTACTGTACAGAGTTGATGTTCAGTAGTTCAGGAGACCAAGTCTGAACAAGTACAACCTGGGATGTGGCTGACACACTCGCTGGTAGCAAAGGAATATATTAGGAACAAATTATCACAATTTTTTTTCAGAGAAGCATTGAGACACAACAAAAATATTCTTCAAAATTAAAAAAGCAACACGTGGAATTTATATTGTGTATTCCTAAAGTTATTCCAACCTCTTTATGCATGCACTAAAGAAACTAAGATCTATAATGTAGTCTATTATATGGTAACTACATACAAGTAAATAGTTTAAGCAGTGCATTGTCATCAGCCATTCTCTACAAAAGGGGGCATGTTTTTTATGTGGATAATATATACTTGTGCAATGTGGCTTTGCTACGGCTCAAGTATATAGTGATGAATCAGATTCAAAGCACTGTGTGACTTCTTTCAGTAATATTTGGACCGTTTGAAACATTATGATAACTAGAAACTAAAGGTAACATTTGCAAAGCAAATGCATAATGTTTACCTTCGCATATGGTCTGCTCTATTAATTCTTAGTCAAACACATTTATATACATACATGTATATGGTGACAGGAGTCTAAGCCCCCCCCCCCTGCTATAAAATTGCAACATGCTGTAACCCAACACCAGTTAACATGGTGAGACAGTCTGGTTCTGGTCATAGACCTTATTTGAGGAAGAAGAGGAAACAGAGCAAAAACGATATGTTTTTCTTCAGTAAACATGAATATTTACATGAGTAGTTTCAATATAGACTACCAACTGAGTTTGTAACAGATATTGCAGAGAAGAAGCAAATAAAACTTACAGTCACGTTTGTAGACAAGAGAGTTTGGTGCAACTGACAACTCAAACACCTTTCCCTGGTTCACAGCAGTGCGTAGGACTACCAAAATCCTCTGGCTGGTCGACTCAGCCACAAGAAGGCGTAAAGTTACAATGATGGCACTGTTATTGGCTCTGAAAAAAGAGAGAAAAACAATCTTAATAGAGGTAAAAAGAAAGTTAACATTTTACCATGCAGTGATACCATTATGCAATTTTAAACACAAATCACCGAATGATGATAAAAGCAGCGGCTGCTGCAATTTGAGCAAGACTTAAACACTTTTCTCCTGATCGGAAAATTACAATACTAGATTATTGAATCCAAGAGATAAACATTGTATATCAGTAGTTTTCATAACTTGTAGTAGGCCTTTGCTTACCTGGAAAACTGGAGAACCTGGATACTTTGAAACCCTGCAGCACTACCAAGGAAAGCAGCAGTCTGAAAATATCATCAAGAAAAAGCAGAATTAATAAAAGATCCCGACACAGATTTTATTTGGCTATCAAATTATACATTATTTTCAATATTTCAGCCGTTTTCTTAGAAAACATCAATCTAACTTCACAGTAACTCACAGAATTTGACATGTTACATATTTCCAACAGGTCAAATACATATCTGCCACCATGAAAAAATGCATCTATAGAGGTCCTCAGTACAACATCCCCCACTATAATGCACTTCTGCATTATTATCTAAACTGTGTCTATATGTACATTTATATCATACCCGGGCCGCGATAGTGTTCGATAACGGGTTCTGGACCGGGCCGTACTTTACGGTACGGCCCGGGCTTTCATGGCTTCCATAGAACGATTCGAACGCGTTTTGCCCAAACTGCGTGCGCCGCTTTCGAAAATTCGAATACAGAATCCGGACGTTGAAATTGATGTTGTTGCAATTTAGGGTTTAGGGACACCAAATTTTCGCCCATTTCGCATTGAAAGGCGTGTTTTCTTGGGTGTGTATGACATAAATAAAATACAACACGGTGTATTCCGCATCACCCTCAATCCCGGACCTGAGTCAGTCGACACCTCGGGCGATACGGAATACCCCGTGTTGTATTCTATATGTAGTGCACTAGAAATCTCCCAAACACAGTTTTTCATAGAGGTGGATATACAAAATGAATGTATGTAACAAGGCAGATGAATGTGAATGGAGTTCACCTGTGTCTGGACTTCAGCCTGTAGTTTCCGGTACTCCATAGAGGTGGAGTTCAGTAGGACTGGGGTGAACGACCTCCCGGCTGCCAAAGTCAAGTTCACACTGAAACTGGCAACAGCTGAGGAATGGAAAATAAACAAATAAAACATAGGACGTGAATAAGATGCACTAAGCTTGTACAGTCAAACCTGCCCAAGCAGCCGAGTGCTTCAAGCTGACCACTTGTCCATAACAACCACCTGGTCCCGAAATTCTTTTTTCCAAAGGAGCAAGCATTAAGCAACCTGCCTAAGAAGGCAACCTGTCCAACAAGACGACTTTACCTTCGTGAAAAAAACGTTGAGTACAATAAAAGCCATTAAAAATCCTGGTTTTAAACAGCCAAGTACATTCTTCTGATGTGCTACTTTAATTAGTATTTCATCACCAAGGACATCACCCATTGGGCATGTAGAAAGTAAGGAATTCTAACGATTACAGGAATTCTAATAAATTTTAATTTTTTTTTAGAATTCCTGTAATTGCTAAAATTGAATGAGCATGCACATACCTAAACAGCCCCCAGTGTGGACTCAAACACACAAACTGTCCTTTAACACAACCAAAAACAATACATCCATCCCAGGAGTTTCAACACAGTTACACATACCTAAACAGGTGGCCAGTCCCACACATGTGCATGTGTAGGTTCTCACTATACACACACCATAGAACCCAGTGTGGACTCAACACAAACACACTAACCATCACTTAACACGACCAAAAACAATACTTCTGTCCCAGTGTTACACATACCTAAACAGTTTGCCTGTCCCACACATGTGCAGGTATAGGTTCCATCCACCAGTTCCCACTGTGCACACACCACGGGCTGGCAGACAACCGTGTTGTTTCCTTTACATTCACACTGCTGGTTGCCCTTCAATCCAAACGTCGCACCTTTCTGCATAAATGTAATTTAAAAAAAAGATCTAAGCATTCTGTGTACAGTGCATTGGACGTACTTACCACTGAGTGTCTAATACCTACCCAGAAAAGAACGATAAACAGCCATGTCTTCAATTATCAGATTTACCGACCAGGAATTGAGGTGTTCATAAATTTATACTGTCCAATAACTATCGTAGAGTGGAAGTCGTTTGCATCAACTACAGTTGGGGCAACATCATTTTAAACAACAGTTAAATGTGCAAAGAATGTGTGACTGGTTGTTGAGTGTAATGTATCCAGCTGCCGCCACACTGCATGCCTGCAAAGCTAGCATGTTATACCGACTATACCGATACAGATACATTAGGTAGGCTAGTACCCAAGCATTCATTAAATCACAGGGCTGGAAATACCAACTGCATATGGTAGGAAGGTAAAATTGAGGCTGTGCATTTCTGATGTCTACCTGCACCGGCCCATGTACTGAGCTTATACAAAAATGTAGATTGTATGATTGTGGATTTTACAATTACAAATTAAAAGCAGAGTTTCTAAGGCTTACAAACTCATGGTCTAATTTGTCTCTCATTAGCAGTTGTGTTATCTTTATACTAGCCCATAATACTCACCGGCCAATAGACGCCCTTGTAGCTGCACCCACAATCCTCTGGGAGCACACACTGGAGACCACTCTGTAGGTACCCGCTCTGGCACCGGCAGCCTTCCATGCACGTCTCACGTATGGCAGTGAAAGAAGGCAGCAGGGACATGTAGTCCTGACGAAGGCACTCCCTTGTAACATTCTGGTTCAGGCAGGTTGGCTGTCTGAAGGACATGCAGGCTGAGTAGTTGCTGTTGGCTGGACATTTCATCTCTGAAAGGAAATAATAATGTCAAAACTTAAGGCAAAATTAATTTTCGAAATTATGCATAATGTTTACCTTCCCGTGTTCCAGTAAAACAAACTACTGCTTTTGTTTATTCTTACTCAAACCCATTAGTATAAAAAATGTATTGTGACCAGCCCCTCCAACTCTGTCCTGCCACTTGCTAAATAATGTAACCTAACACTACGAGGCAGCTGCGGCAGTATCAGTTACCATGGTGACAGCCATCTGGTCCAGGTTATTGATATTATTTGATTAGCAGAAAATAATGATCAGACCAAAAACATATTATGTTCTCCTTCTGCAATGGTAAACATGATTAATAGTATGATGAAACAATGTACGCAATGTAACTAGTACATTCCTTGGACTGTCCATAGACTGTCATCACAACGTTTTGTCTTAGATCTTTTTTATTTGCTGTTTATAACTCACGGCAGTTATTGCTGTACTTCCTCCAATCACCAACGAGCACGCCTGCAGTGCGACACAGCCTAGCATATGTCTCCATACTGGTACAGGTCTCCTTCCCTCCACTGCCTGTAGCATTCATACCTCTGGTAGAGTTCTTTATGTTGCTGTTCATTGATTTACTACCTTGACATGTGTCGAAAATGTAGTTCTCATAGAATCCCCTAGGGGGCAGCACTGCATGGCAGCGTGTAAAGGGGCCAGTTGAAGACAGGATGAGTCCACAGGTGTTGTTTACCCCTGTTTGGTTCTTTGCACTGCTACAGTTGAGTTTGGACAAGTCAGCTGTTGCTGGACAGCTGTAGAGAAAAAAACACAAAGATTAGGTTTGAAAACTATGATAAGAGATAAAATGCAACAGTTACTTCGTGCCATTTACCTTTTTCCTCAATTTTAGAAGGATCTTGTTTTTCAATATTTCTTATGAATATATCTGTAAACCTCTAGTACACTGAAGTAGTTAAGTGTTAAAGTAGTTGAGGGATTTGACAACAGAGAAGGGCAAAAATAAAGATGATAGGAAAGAATTGGAAAGGAAGTGATGCTAAATGAAATTACTATAATACTGTACATGTACATCTAATCACATGTCGAAATGTATATAGCTTCCTACACGTCACTCAATCACTCACTCACTCACTCACCCACTCCCTCTCTCTCATTCACCCACTCACTCTCACTCACTCACTCACTCACTCACCCACTCCCTCTCTCATTCACCCACTCACTCTCACTCACTCACTCACTCACCCACTCCCTCTCTCTCATTCACCCACTCTCACTCACTCACTCACTCACTCACTCACTCACTCACTCACCCACTCCCTCTCTCACTCACTCACCCACTCCACTTTTACTCACTCACTCACTCACTCACTCACTCACTCTCAATCTCTCACCCACTCACTCAATCACTCACTCACAACTTACTACCAGGATATGTAACTCTTGATGTTTGGAATAAAACTGTCCAAATTCAAAGTCTGTCAACAGCTTTTACCTGCTATTTCCAACCTTCCAACTGTCTCCAAAGTCAGCTACAGAAGTTGTTATCGTTCCATCCTGTTGTGCCATATCATCACTGGAGTTCCCGTTAAAGTTCCCACACAACCCGACAGTCTTCCCTCTGTAACACGCGGGGATCCTCACACTGACCTCGTGTTTGCCATCGTAGGTCACCACCAGGTCAGAGGTCGTGGTCAGCTGTACCAGACTGCCGGTGTAGTTGATTTGAAGGTCTTTCGTACCGAAGGGAGGGGTCACGGTCAAGTTGTTATACTGAAGGGAAAGGAGAAAATTTGTTTTGCCTTGCAAACAACAACATATTTTTTATTGTATTGACAATGTATACTGTATTAATTATTATTTTGTAAGATCTGTAGTCAAGAGGGTCTGGTTTCAAATCCACGACAGGCTCCTACGTCATATCACTGGGGAATGCACGTAACATGAATTTTCTCCCTTAAGTTTTACTCACTGACTGAGAATTAGTATTACATTAAATAGAACTCCAGTGTTTGAGAAGAGACACTTCGAATATCTCCAGCACACTTAATGTTAAGAGTCAAGTGTTCTAAAAGTAAGTACTATTCATACATATGTCAATCTTTCCTTACTAGTAGAATACATAGAATACCAGCATTCAAGATTTTCTATGGTGTTAATGGCAATAGACATGTAGTTACAAATTATAAAAAGGCAGGTGGTAGAATTTCAGGGAAAACACATCCTTATATAAAAGATGAAGCTTACATGCATTTCACTACATTTGAATTAAATCAACATGTATATCTTGTAACATTCTGCTTACCAAAGCCTTGGGTCCTTCCATAAGTGTCACCCTTTGGCCAAACACGTCGACATGGACCCTGGTGTGCAGATGGGTGAAGTTACGATACTCTGGCGGCAAATTCAGGGCTCCCGCATCTATTCTGACTACCCTGTCATCCAGATACGAACTGCCAGAGCCAACCATCCTCATCGGAGCATTGTGTTGATCCAAAGAAATGTATGTCCATTCTAGCTCAACGTTGAAGGTTGTTTTTGTCGTGTTGAGAAGAGTGGCGTTGCCGTAGGCGACTTTGTCCTTGACCAAGGTGTACCGACAACTGCCGGTAAGATCAAAGGTGCTGCGGTCGAAGGTGATGATGTTGTGGCCATGTGATGCAGTACAGGTGCGGTCCAAGTTGTTCACACCTGGTGAGAGAATTGTTGAAGTGTCAATCTATAATTATGTTTACCGAAGGAGAACATATTGTTTTTACGCAGTTTCTTCCTTTTCTTCTGTTCCAAACGCTAACCTCTGACCTGGCCAATGATATGATTGTTGACGTCTATCACCATGGTGACTGGTGTTGGGTTACATAATGTTGCAATTTTATGGCCTGCTCTGCTCCTGTCACCATATACTCGTAGACAAGTACATGTATGTGAATGTGTTTGAGTAAAAATTAACAGAACAGACCGTGTTCGCGGGTAAACATTATGCATTTGCTTTGCAAATGTTAATTCTCTAATTTGATATACAGCATTACAACCTCATATCAACTGAAGCTGATGTATTGTTACGTCGATGAAGGTTAGACATCCAGGTAATAAGATTCGTCAAAAAGCAGTTACTCAAGCAACTGGATATGATTTTGGAAACGGTTAGTCAAAGGAGGCTTATATACAATGTACCAGATATACGAGCATGTTGGCAGAATGTACAGCACCTGCACAAAACCCAGATTTTTCCAGTTTTCAACTTGGTTAATGTTGCATCAGAATTTTGCCTGTTGCAGACAGTATTTTTTCTGCACAAAATTTGAAAACTATAGACATAATGTCATCCATGTATGCAAATACAACCATAAACAATATGTTCTGCCAAATTGTGATGCGCAATGCACTATGGGTAATAAGCAGGCACAGTGTGTTCTGCCGATGTGCTGCTATATAGATTTAGTTACATAATGTTTTGGAGTATAAAACAGGAAATAATAAATTCAATGTCAAATGTAACAAAAAGTATGATTCCCCTCCAAGAAAAATATAGAGTCTCTTTGAAAAGTTGATGGTAATAAGCCTGTTCATATACCCACCTTTTACAGGCAGGCCACAGCGCTCACAGTTACGCCCAACAAAGTCTTGTTTACAGACACAGCGGTAAGTGTAGTCCCCGTCAACACAGGCTCCTCCGTTCTGACAAGGGTTGGACGCACACTCATCACGACCTACATGTAAGAATAGCCATAAGTCATTAGTTGTATCAAAGGACACAAAAAGTGGATATTATTTTTCAAGAATATCAATTTCAATACTGTATTAAATGCATCCAATGAAATTTCAGGGTAGTATAGCTGGATTTTCAAAGTCAATTTTCAATGTCTACTTCCAACCTGATGAAAGTATTCACCAATCTGAATTAAACTACTGGAGTAAAAACTTTTAATACACAGTAAAAAAAAAAAAAAACAAGTCACCAACACATGGAATGGAGTTTTGAAAGAAGAGGCTATGTATCTTGCTTTAGACTTTGGTTGGTGGTACTGTCCTAGTAATATCTGTCTGTCAGAAACTACACAGAGAATACAGCCTAAAAGTCGGCCATGGCGTGACTTATTGACATGCATACGTAGTATGACGTATTCACCAATTTCACACTTCCCATAATGCCTAGTAACGGTCCCGGATATGACGTATGACCAGCCCCGTCCCCCTTCATCGATGTAATATTTCCAACAAGTTCTATCGACAGACTGGTCAACTATTGTTTTGAATTATTTCTCTAGTATAAAGCGCATGCCATAATTGCATTTTTGTTGGAATTAGAGAAAATGACGTACCTTCTATCGTTCTAATATACGTAATGCGACCGTGCGAGTAGGAGAGTCTTCGGTAGAAGGTAGAACGATAGAAGGTACGTCATTTTCGCTAATTCCAACAAAAATGCAATTATGGCATGCGCTTTATACTAGAGAAATCATTCAAAAAAATAGTTGACCGATTTGTCGATAGAATTTGTTGGAAATATTACATCGAGGAAGGGGGAGGGGGTGGTCTTACGTCATATCCATGACCGTTACTAGGCATTATGGGAAGTGTGAAATTGGTGATTTGATTTCTATCATGAAAGTTCATCTGTGTTGGTACTTATATTTTTAAAGTTAAACATTTTATTCCAACACAACTGTGATGGGGGCCGACATCGTTTACCAGATACCTTCAAATTGACTCAGTGTTGACATCACACTTCAGAAAAGTCATGTGACAAGTCTTACTGGGTTAGTCTATTGAAGAAGACCAGAGTGACTGGTCAAAAGCTCTAGGTGAGAACAATCATTTGAGTTGGAAATAAAGGTTCAACAGTTACTTTAAACGACTATTGCTTTTAATGACTTACCACGGCAGATAGCTTGTACTGCCTGAATACGCTGTGCACTGTTGTCCAAGTCGGTGAAGTTATCCAACTGGAAGACAAACGGCTGATACCCAGTGATCTCCTCCAATGTCGTATTACCGAGTCCGTTTCCTATGCCAAACGCAAACAAGTGTACTCCCATGTCACGAAGGTCCTTTGCAACTGCTGCTGGTGCATCTAACGGTTTTCCAACTGTCAGAAGGATGGCTACGTTCGGATGACCCATCCTATCGCCATTCTTGTAGGTGAAACTTGTGTCTTTGAGATGCTGTAGCGCAGCTTGAGTGAAGGTGCCGCCTCCCAAGGGAGCCAAGTTGTCAACTGCTGACATCACATCTGCAATACTGTTGTTTGTTGCTAGGGGGAGTACTTCCTGAACTGTGCCTGCGTACTGCACTACCCCAACTCTGTTTGCACCCGGCTGGATGGGGAAAGCTTGGACAGCTCCCTTGACGAAGTCCTTCATACGTCTGAAGTCCGGCATTGTGACCTTGTCCGAGCTCTCAACGACAAAGACAAGGTCAAACCGTGACCTTGAACAGCCGGAAACTGAGGGAGGTTAAATATCGAGTGATTATTACATAACATTTCATCGTTATTATGCACAGAGTATGGTTACTTATTTAGATGGGACTCCAAAAAGAGGTAAGGCATTTCCAATACTTTACGTTAAAAATGGTGTATCTATAGGATAACTTTTAGACAAGCATTGTTGGTTTTAATATAACACCATCATTAGAAGGTTTATGTTGAGACAACAATACTTTCGGCACAAAGGTCTGTTACAGAACAATTTTAAATTTTCCATAAGATCGCACACTTACAGTTATAGTTACATTAGCAGAAACCGTATAATTACCAACCATTATATAATATATATCTCTCTGCAATGTCTGCTGTTTGTAGACTACTGCCACCATTGCCACCACTACAGCCATCTCCCAAACCAAGCAGATGAAATCTGTCCACACTGTTTGACACTACAGGTCTGCCACCACCAGTATGGTTCATACTATGCCTCTGTTGCCATGTAAAGACTGCCACCTTGTTCTGTTCGCATTTATGTGCTTTGTCACCAAGTAATACACAGTAGTAGTAGGTAAAGGAAGTCCTATAGCTATTTTTAGGCTATAGAGGAATAAGGATGTTAATCCACTGTGTCTAGGGCACAGGATAGGATTCTAAGGCGGATCCTATCCCTCTCTTTCCACCGCCTTTAACCTCCCAACTGAACCCATTTTACACCTGGGTGGAGAAGGAGAACCTGTTTAAAGTGCACAGCAAAACCAGGAATTCCAGGAATCGAACCCATGACCTCTCAGTCTTGTTCCGCTAGCCTATAGCCTTTGGCCATTCGACACGCCCCACTCTTGTCCACTGGCCTAGCCACTAAGACACCTCCACCCAATGTAGTAGCAGAATCAAAGCCACTGCCACATAACTGATTTAGTTCTGGGCTTACTCATTAACACCTGAGCAAAGTGAAGAAAGTCCAAGGGCACAAAGTTGGTGACATGGCAGGATTCGAAACCAGTACCTCTTGATTCCGAGCTGAATGCTCTGCCGTCACACAACCCTAACACGACCATAACTGTCACCATGTACCAGTAGAACCAGTACCATCACCAGTACCACTGTTTTCTCCCTACATGTCTGACACTGCGGTCCCTCGAACCCTGCGGCACAGTTGCAGTAGTACGACCACTTGTCCACGCCAAGTACGCAGCTGCCGTTGTTCTGACAGGGGCTGTGCTCACAAGCTGAATTGTGGGTCCTGTTTCCCTGCCCTGAAAATGTAACTGAAAGGGAACAGAAATTAGTACATCGAGTCAACTATTTTTTTTTCTCAACAAGGTGTCACATTTGTATTTGAACCAGTGTTCTACCAAGCCTGAAATTTCTTTCTGTCATCTCAATTTCATTTCATGTAATATCAGTCAGATGCAACAATCCTACGGAGATGGGGGAAATTTTGAAAGGGGGAAATTTTATGTCTCTCATCGATGGCCAAGCCGAAAAGGCTAAGGTTGGCCGGGTAAATAGAAACACAGCATTTTTTCCTAGTGTAACAGCGGGGTTCAAGCTGACACAGTCCAATGGGTCCAGGCTTTTTTTCAGTAGTGGTTTGTGCGTTGCTTCGTAAGCTAGCTGCCCAGGTTTGGTGAAGGTTCGATTTCCGGTGTGAATACCACTGAAGCACTAAAAGCCAGTGGAAACAGGAAAACCCCTGACGCCGGGAATTGAACCCGCACCAAACCCGAGAATACAACTTGCGGAGCAACGCACAACCTGCTACTCCAAAAGGTCTAGACCTATTGGACCAGGTAAGTTAGTGGCGTTTGAACCTTCTTCTACACTGGAACCAAGTATAATCATCATACATGACTGTATATCACACAATGATGATAAAATCAAATTTTATTAGTGCTCACAGTTCTTGCTTGGCAGGAGGCATTTGTAGACACCCTTCTCCAGCCCCCATGTGAGTCCATGACTACAGCTGACATACTGACAGCTCACAGTGTTGTTAACTGAGCAGCTGCACTGTTGGTGGTGTGCTTCGGTCCACCTGGAGTTGCCCTAATGTGGAAATAATAGTTAGTTAGTTAAAGTTAAAGAGCCTTCCCGCGTCCAGTGACGCATAGGGCGGCGCCCATCTCCGTTCATTAGCCCTGGGCCACACACAGTAGTCATTACAGCAGGGGGCTAGCCCACTGGTAGTGTTGTGTGTTTAACTCCCATACCCTTTCCCAAATGCTGAGTGCTAAGCAGAGAAAGGAGTATGTACCATTTTAAAGTCTTTGGTATGACCCGGTCGGGGTTTGAACTCACGACCTCCCGGTTACAAAGCGAGCACTCTACCAATTGAGCTATTGCACCGGAAATAATAGACGACAATTTAAAAAATTAGGTAGGAAAAACTAGGTCCCCATAGCCTTTCAGACACTGTTGGGGCAGTGGGTTCTTGATCCACTGTATCTTGGGCATACTTGGTATTGAAAGGTAGAACTCATTTCTCTCCTTTTGCTGCCTTTCATCTATAAACCAAAACAGTCTGGTACCCTCTTTGGCGACGTCTCAGGGGGGAGCCTAATGGTACAGTATTGTTTGCAATTCGCAAGAATTCTAGGAATTGTACAGGCATTTTGTCCACAGGAATGGAATGTCCACATTACTACTGCCAAAAATTGAACCATGATCTTTTTGGCGCTGCATTTCCAAAAAAATCTAGTTCATGGAAAATAACAGAAATTGCTAACCAGTATCATACTGATTCATTCATACAATGTACTGTCTTGAGCTATGTTGTCTTGAAATAAAATTTAAAAAGTATTCTTAAAATATGTTCAACCCAAATGTAGACATCAACTAGAAAAGTAATATTTGCAAAGCAAATGCATAATGTTTACCTTCGGATATAGTCTACTCTGTTAATTCTTACTCACATTCACATACATGTATATCTATGGTGACAGGAGCCTAAATGCCTTCTCTGAAATTGCAACATGATGTAACCCAACACCAGTTACTATGGTGACAGACGTCAACAAAAGAGGCCATTGGCCAGGTCAGAGGTTAGTATTTGGAACAGAAGAAGAAGAAGAAGAGGAAGAAGAAATGGAGCAAAAACAATATGTTTTCCTTCGGTAAACATAATATAAATGCTTCCGCCCCGGAGGCATCGCCAAAAAATACCTTGTGGTAGAAGCCATCCGTATTATGTATACAGCCACATTGCTCCTTCAAGACACATTCATTTTCACTTAAGACGTAGCCATCCTTACAGCGACACCCTTCTACACAGAACTGCTGGCCAGTGTTGGAGAAACAATGTTTGGGTGCATCAGGGTTGTCACATGTAGCCGGGCAGGCAGACATACAGGCAGTGTAGTTACTGTTCGCTGGACACGTTTTTGCTGCATTGTGAAATAGACAGGAAAACTTTATTGCACTACAATTGTGCAAGGTACAATGCAAGACATACACTGCTAATACATTATGTACAATCTAAGGTATCAGTTACTGTATGTACTACTATTATCAACAAGATACATAAAGAGGAGAAAGAACAATGAAGCCAAAACAATTTGTCAATTGTCTTTCACCAGTTTTAAAACTGTTAAAGGCAAGTACAAAATGCACTTGAGAACCTAATTTTTAATTGCTTTGCACATGTAGTGTCAACAAAAGTGTTATGATACTACATGAATTTTGGCCTCTAAACGTACATGTATATTTACATAAAATACATTATAAGAAAAGGGAGTACTAAAAATGGAAAGACAAATGGAAAGGAAAACTACTCCATTGTAGATTAAAAGGAATATTTGCCCACATGTCTGTCTTTTACTATGAGTAACTAAACATTTAAGTTTAAGGTAAATTTGCATTCAATCACTGAAGTTTTTTTATTCGAATCATTGTTAAGTGAAAGGAAAAAAACTGAAACTAATGTTTAACTTCAGTGAACACAAGCTATACATTTCCCTTCCATTCAGTGAGAGAGAAATATAATGAAACTACTTACGGCAAAAATTCTCAGATCTCCAGTTGAGAATGACTCCACGCCTCGCACACTCGTGACTGTACACCTCGTACGTCTGACAGATCCGGTCCTGACCGCGTTTCAGCGCGCAGCGGTCCTGTACACAGGCGCTGAAGAACGGCCGAGGGTTCACGACCTTAACAAAATCAATCAAATCAACTTTATTGCTCAACAATTGTAGCTGATACAATGTATGGCAAAGAAACGACAATGGTACATACACAAACTAATACTGAAATATAATTCTAACGAGCTAGTTCATAATGATACTAAAGATAATCTATGGTGTTTTCTTAGAAAGAGTATTATTACATTCTGTAATTCAGGGGATATATCAGCTATTTACAATATGGTGTCGCTTCTGTAGTGAATCAAATATAAATTTTCCAACGTACACTGATATCTGAGTAGGACATGAAAGTAGCACATTAAAGATATCTGATTTTGACTGAGGTAGCATAATATTAGTTTTGGAAACTATGGATTGCACCAACTTTTGTCTGTTGTTTTTATATGTTGGACATGACATCATAAACTGGAATTCGTCTTCAATACCCTCCTTGCATGTCGGACACAATCTCTGATCGGCTGGTGTGTTATAATGACGGCCCTTTTCGACTTCCAGGCCATGTGAACTTATCCTCATTTTAGTTATGCTTGTCTTAAAAGATTCATTTTGAATTGATGATAGATACTTTTCAATGACATAAGACATGGTAAAAGTCAAAGAGCCTTCCCGTATTAAGTGACACATAGGGCGGCGCCCATCTCCATTTTCAATGACCCTGGGCCACACAGCAGTGCAATAACTACAGCAGAGAGCTAGTCCAGTGTTAGTGGTGTGTGTTTAACTTCCCAAATGCTGAGTGCTATTATTAGCAGACAAATCAGTATTTACCATTTTTAAAGTTTTGGTATGACTCGGCCGGGGATCGAACTCACGACCTACCGAATGCAAGGCTAACACTCTACATACCCACTTGGCCATTGCACCGGTGACCGCACTTGAGACAAGAATAATTGTCCTTTATTCCTAGGGCACCACTGAATATTTACCACCACTGTGGCAACTGATTGTTACAATTCATTACTCCGTAACAATGTAAAAACTATGTCATATTAAATAATTTTACTCACCTCTACACCACTATCGCATTTCAAAATTTGTAGTATTTTACGTAGTTATAGATGTTAATGTTGGTGCAATTCATGTTCAAATTCAATGAACATGTCAATGGCGATATCTGAATCTGACCTTGGAACACCTGTTGGCCTCTGACATGAAGAAAGCGCAGGGTGCGGCGGCCATGTTGAAGTTGGTGGTGTTTGTGGCGTTGTTAGGAAGGTAGGCAGACAGGTTTTGACACATCGGGAAGGAAAACTCTGCCAGTGGTGGACAGCTGTTGATGAAAAATGAGAGAAGGAATGAATGAATGGTTTATCCACATTGTTGTTGCAAGACACAACATACAGTAGCAGCCTTCCTTAGCTGAAATCCAGTATGATATATATTAAAAGTAATCTAAAAGCAAATTAAAGAATACATATTAGTACTGTATTACATAAGCCAAACATTTTTAAAAATTAAGACAACACTGATACCTGACAAAATATCTTCCAAGAAAGGCCATCAACACAATTATACAAGAATACTAAGTATGGAAACAGTACATTATAAGAACTTCTTCAATATAAAGGAAGAAGAAATTTATCCCAGAAGAACGATATTGCATTGCACATGGTACAAGGTATGGCAACAACTATTGAATATTATAACAATACATGAATAAGATATATTTCATTACAGGTACATGTACCTGGGTACATTAAAAATAGTTACAGCTTTTATTTGGTACCATACAAAAAGTTCAATTCTGATCAGATCCTTATGTATGGGTCTTAAGATCTGTCTTAAAACTTTAATAAGAATAACCTTTATTGTACATTCATGCCCTATCGGACTAAGTACAGATGAAATGATAATATACATGTTAGTACAAACATCTCTAAAACTACACTAATACAAAGGTTCAGATTCTTCTCGTTTCTTCGTGATGCGAAAAATATAATTTGAAATGAGTTTGTTTAATACAGGATGATCAAAGCGCATAAGAATGATAATTTTTTCAACTATAGTTAAGTATTGAAAGTATAGAAACGTACTTGTGATATATCTAAAAGGATCATTTGTCAGTCTGACATTTTGCAATTCAAACGGTGTCTTGTCCAGTCAGTAATCAGCAAGTTCCAGGACAACTTTGACACAGACAACATATGTACATGGTCTACGGCTTGCAGGTGTGGAACATGCATATCGTTAAGACCGCGCTGACATTTATGTAGTATGATATTTGATTTATTACATGTCCATATTTTTGTATGTATATTTATGTATTGCTTTCATACTGTATTTAAATCCAATGCTGTTTTATACTGTTTTTATTGATGTAATTAGGGGAGGGAGCTGGTAAAGGTGACCCACCTGTTCTCCCTCCCCCTCCATGCATGTGCTGGTAAATTTTAATAAACAAATAAACAAATTTGTATCATTACTATTAAAACTTTAATATGTTTGTTGCTAAAGAAACCCACCTGTCGTTCTTCAGCTGCCAGCTGTTCACGAACGCGGCGTCAGACGAAGCCGCTCTACCGTCAGCTGTCCGGTTATCGTCGCTCGCATCTCCGTTATAGTTCCCGCAGAGCCCTGTCGTCCGGTTTGCAAAGCATCCTGGGAGTGATACCAACACCTCTTGCTGGCCGTCGAAGCTGACCCTCAGTCCAAAGTCCGTAGTGAGGACGATGTGATCACCACTTTGATTGACATTGATGTAGGATCCCACCACAACAGGCGTGTACACTAGCACCTGGTTCAGCTGAAATAGTAGCAATCATTGAGTCAATTAGAACTAAGCGTTTTGATTGGCTTGTGACACTGACAAGGTTAAAGGCATCCAATGTAATTTAAACAAAATTAAACAAAATATATTCTGGATGAGAAAATCTGATATTAACATTTGCTGCCTTTTTATAAGCACATTTTCATCATCATTTCATATTTAGATCGTTTGAGATAGTAAAACACAAGGTACATGTACATGAGGCATCTCTTGAGGCATATAACAAACTTAATGATTTTAGTTGCAATTCACATTTTTGCAACAAAACACTGTTTTGACAGACAAAACTCTGTATCCGTAATCTTTAATAGACAATTTAAATCAATGTGTAAACTAAGCTTGATGCACCAAAAAAATGCATTCAGCCAATATCTTTGTCAAGGCGTGTTTAACATACATGCAAAACCAAAAAAAAAAGACTTATCAATCAATGATATTATTAAAACATCAAAACATTGACTAATGAGGATTGTTTGATCCATAGTCACTGGCCAATCAGATGGCTTTTACTATAATATCTAAGAATGATTGACAGTAGAAACCATGGCAACCTACCATCAGCCGACGCCCCTCCATGAGAGTAATCCTGTGTCCATACACGTTTACTTGTACTCTGGTGCTCGGGGTATTAGAGGAATTTGACCTCGAATACGTAATTCCGCTATTTGCAATCACGCTGGGACTGAGTGACTTGTCGTTTTCCACGAATCCTCGCTGCAGTTGGACGTTAAACATGGGTCTGTCGTTGGTGTCCTGTACCAGAGTGTAGGAGCAGTTTCCGTCGAAGTCAAGATGGCTGCCGTCGAAGCTGAGGTAGTGAAGGTCACCCCAGGTCATACAGGTACTCACTGTCTTGTCATTACCTGTGATAATAAACAATTATCAAAAGCCTTATTGTGTAACTATTGTGCAGGGTACAACTTATGGCATATTCTGCTATTTCACCTTAAAGAAAACATAGACTATGACTACCTTCAAAGATTAAATTAGATGTTGTATGGGAAAAGAATGTGCTTTACAATTATTGGAAAATTTCTTACATTTAGGCTTTTCTTGAAATATATGGGTATACTATGTATGGGTTGAGATTTTGTCACTCACTCACTCACTCACTCACTCACACACGCACGTACAGTGCACATGTAACATGCACATGTGTGGTTGCGTGTTTCATTGCAAAATATATTGATTTAAATTTTTTAACACATTTTCATTCTTGATTCTTGTATGCAAATTATTTCACTGTGACATAAGATTGTATATTAGTATGTTAAATATTGTACATATAAGTATGGAAAGAGCTTACCAAAAACTTGACATCGATGCAGACTTAAGACAGTCACTATACCTTTAAAAAATTACTTACACAGTTGGCACCTGTTTCCCTTGTAGTTTTCCGGACAGCTGCAGGTGTAGGAGCGATCTCCATCTGTGCAGGTGCCATTGTTGAAGCAGGGGTTGGGCTGGCACTCATTCTCACCTGTACATGTACATGGGCAAGATTTAACACAGCTTAGAGTAAAACTGGTAACAGTTGGGTAATGCAAAATGTCAAAGTTTTGGGTAAAGTCTATTATAATTTACCCTACTCAGGCTTCTGCTATCATTTAATGATTATCATAATCATTTCTCACAGTTTTTTTATACATGTCTCATGATTTTGTGCGAATAGAACAGACGAACATTCTCGGTCAACAAAACAGTTGTCTCTTTTGCTTTGACATGCAGTTTAAAAGGAAACATATAGAATAAGAAGGGAAATTGCCAGAAAAGCTATAATTACGCTACTATACATTACTATAATTTACACTTGGATATTCATTGTCTAATTATGTCAAATTACTAATGGCAAAACATACCCCTCTTGCAAAATCATCAAGTACATGTATATTATTCTATATAATATATGCCCTATTAGGGCCCCTAAAAACTTCGGAAACGAAGCCAAGTCAAGAATAAGAGAATATGCCCACTTAACCTTAGCTTCTGTCTAACCTAATAATCAATACACATTTAGTGCAAAAAGAATACCTTGGCAGGGTAAAGGTTAAATAGATATTAAAGACTTGTATAAAATTGTGTACATTATCTTATAGGTATAAATGCTTTTGTTTTGTTTTATTTATTTATTTAACCATACAGGGATAAAACATATCGCCCGAAAGGCCGGTTTTCAATGTGCCCTGGAGGGCAAGCCCCAAACACATTAAATGATAAACTTTACACTACCAAAAATGATTTTTCTTGTTTTTCTTGTTTTTCTTAATTCGTGGACAAATTTTCTTATATGAAGAAATTTCAAGAAAAATTAGGAATAAATAAGAAAAGAGCAACAGATCGTTCTAAAAATTTTTTCTTGTAAATTTTCACTACAAGAAACATTTTCTTATTTTTCTTACGTGAAGAAATAATTTCTAGCAATGATTTTCTCCCCCTAGAATGTTCTTGAAAATTGAGTTAAATGGTCTTGTTTTTCTTGTCAGAAGAATTACTTTCTTGCCATGGTTAAGAAAATACAATAATTTTTCCCTTAAATTTCTTGTATTTCTCATAGTAAGAAAAACAAGAAAAGCAGGGTTTAAAAAACAAGTCATAACTAGAATAACATTCTTGAATTTTCTTGTTTTTCATATCAAGAAACTTTGAGAAAGGAAGTTCTTGCTTTTCTTGGGCTGTGTCAGAAAAAACAAGAATTTTGATCTAACCTTTCTTGAGATATATTGCTTAGAAAAACAAGAATATTCAAGATATTGAAACTAGAAGACAAAGATCAAGTCATAACTAGAATAACATTCTTGAATTTTCTTGTTTTTCATATCAAGAAACTTTGAGAAAGGAAGTTCTTGCTTTTCTTGGGCTGTGTCACAAAAAAACAAGAATTTTGTTCTTGACTTTCTTGACATATGTTGCTTAGAAGAAAGTGTTTATTGGCAATAAGAATTTTGGTCTTGAACTGAGAACCAAAGTCTCAAAGATTATAGTGGTATATATATAAAGAATTTCTGTCTTGAGGAAAAAGATATGCATTCTTGTTGTAAGAACATGAAACTAAATAGAAGAAAGGCTTTCTTGACAATAATAATATAATAATTGATAAGTAATATCACTCTTAAAGTTAGAAAAGGAATCTTGGTGTAAGAATCTATTTTTGGGGTATTAAGAATTTGTTCTTGTTTTTTGTAATTTAGAAAGTTGAGCAATCTGATTCTAGATTCTTTTAGTAATTTCAGAGACAAGAATTAGTTTCTTTACTTTCTTGACTTTGAATAATTCTATACTTGTAACTAGCATAGTTTTACTTATCTAGATAGTTCAAGAAAATGATTCTTGTTTTTCTTGGTCAGGTTATGTTCAAGAAAATACAAGAATCTGTGTCTTTGCTTTCTTTTTAGACAAACAAGTGCTTCTGCAAAAGCTGACCATTTTCGCCGCTTACAGGCTTACAGTTTTTACGAACATTTTCCCCATCCTAGCATTTCAATTTACCTAAGTTATATAAATGGTTCTAGTTCTCATCAACATTGTATATAATGAGAGAACATGCACTTCTATATTTCAACTCTTTAAGTTTAAAACATTACAAAAATCAAGTATATAACAGTTTATAACCTGTTTTCTCTCTTTTAAGAGTCTTTTTAACAGAATAAAAAAATGAGACACAAAAGTACAATTTAACTTAAATTATAAGTAACGTTAATATATATATATATAATTTTATTCAAAATCTCTTCTATGGCTTTGTCCCCAACATCTAAGTTTACAAACCTCGTGACATTCAACCAGGGCTTTAGCCAGCGCCCGTTTTACCGTCAATTGACGGTATTTTTTCCCGTCGGACGGTAAAAATTTAAGTCCTTACCGTCAACATTGACGGTCAAAAATCGTGGGTGAAGACATTAAACTTAGCAAAAAATGTAGCGAATTTGAATGAGCCACGGCGCGGGGTCTTTCCAAAGCGCGTCGCGTCTTTTCAAAACGCCGCGGGCCCACACATTTCTTATTTAAATACGGCGGGAAACCTGACTTCAAGGAACGTGCCGATGTCTGTTAACTCGGTTCTTTTCTTCAATGTTGCTGTCTGTTTAAACAACATGTGCTAACGGCCACATAAGAACAATGGCTCGACTCAGACTCACGCTGGTAACTGTACATGACAATAAGATAAATAAACAACATGCGGCAACGAACAAAGAAATATCAAACGTTTTGAAAATATACTGTACTTGAATTTTCATACCATCGCAAGAAAACGGAGATCGATCTACGCAAAGTGGCTTTATTATTTATATAAACTTCGTTAAACCACCTTCGAAGACTTGAGCGGCAGCATAAAGATAAATTTTCTGGAGCCGATCGCTGAAGCAAGTTTTTGCCGGCGTACGTAACTCCCTCCGCGGCAAAATCCCATATGCCGTAGCGAAATCGCGTCTCAGCACTTCCCCAAATCAACTCCATGGCCGCTAAAGTCTGCGAATGAGGTTAAACTTCCTCATTTCGGTTGAGAAGCGAAGCTACTAGTATAAAATCATGTGCATGGCAGCCATTTTGTTTGCTACCCGAAGTCTTCCGAATGATCTAAATAAGGAAATCGTCGGAAATCTGAGCCACATCCCTCGCTGTCGGCATGCGCTCGGGGCTGGCTCGGTGGAAATCGGAGGCTGTGGCGTCAGGACTTGGTTTATTTGCATGGCTCGGGAAGCCGCCGCGGCTTGAATCGCAGCGGGATTTGGGCGCCGGGCGGGTCAAACAAAGGGAATATGAAGTTGTGAGGACCATAGTTTTTCTTTTCATTCTTCAAATTGCAGATTGTGTAATTTTTATCCTGAAATCTTGAAAATCTATCTGCAAAGTGCAGACTGAAGACGGGTATTTAGAACACTGAATACATGAAGTGTGCGGGGGGGCATGATGTCGATCACCGGATCATGATTTTTTTTCGCGTTGACCCTGATTCAACCCTAAAATAATACTCGAAGAGAACTTCAAAAGTCATCTTTTACTAATCATATATAATTGTTTACATTATATCATTTGATCAACCTGATCTATTAAAAATTGTCAATGGAAAATACCTTGCCAAACAATGCAATACCTATTTAAGTTAATTAAACACTCACTCATTAATTAATTAATTTCCTAAAATACAAAAGACATGTTGGTGAAAGTTAGGCACCCAGGTAATATCAATAGTTCCACGGACAGCTATGTAGGCCGGAGCTTCTATTGCGTGCGATCTACGTTTGGTCAGAAAATACACCCCCCCCCCAACACACACACACACAAAAACACCGATCCGGGAACGCCTGAAAAGGAGGCTTTTAATAAGCTTTGCCTGCAGCGCCTTGATTGGTCGGACGTGTGACCCTCTGGACTGCCGGCTAATGGAAATCTGAACATCTAGACTAATCCACACTGCTAATGCTCATTGACATAATTTATGCAGTTTATTAAAATCCTTGATTACTGTGATTATAGACATGTCTTTATCAACATTTTTGGCAAATAATAAAATCAAGTTATTGTTCAAGACAAATTAAGTTTGTTTTGTCAGCAGCTTTGTTATGCAACATTAATAGAACTATGATTTTGAAATTAGCAACCATAATGGAAAGTATACAAACGTCCAAGGCATAAATGGTAAAAAGTGCACTCGCAACAACGACATCTAGCGACATGCGGCAACTCAGCATGTCTGCATGGCCGTCGCAACAACGACATCTAGCGACATGCGGTGACTTAGCATGTCTGCATGGCCGTTGAAGGGTGGAACCGTTGATCCATCCATCCATGCATCCAATGTCAATCTCGTCTGAGTTACCATTTTCGCGCATGCGAAAATGGTAAAAAAAATTGTTGAATTAGAAATCAAATTTAAAACCTGAAAGCAAAAAATACTTAAAGTTCTTTAACGTTTTTGTTTTCCTTATCGAGAAAGTTCAAGAAAGATGAGTTTTTTCCCTGGTAATGTTCAAGATAATGTAAGAATTCTTTTCTTAACATTCTAGCCATAACTGTCATCTCTTGTGAGCTCCTGATTGGTTAATTCAAATCCCAGAATGCAGTTAGGGATTTTTGAACAGAAGCTGGGGTGAAGTCAGATGTGGGGGAAGTGCTCTATGCTGGTTACTTCTTTTTAGTCAGATATTGATTCATATCGTCGGATTCGAAGTCAAAATCAAGGTAAAAAGGACGTTGTGTGCATGTGAAGCAATGGTGATCGTGTCGGCTTGCAGAAGAAACCAACTTTGCAACGAAAAAAGGATGGAACCAAACTTATATAAGGTAAGTGCGCCCCCCTCCCCACCAAGAAGAAAAAATCTGTTGACATTGTTTTTAGACTTCATAGCTTATTTGCTACAATTCCATTGGGGTTGATTTCTAAATTGTATTTCTGGTATATTGTAGAGTACAGTGTTTTACTGCATTATAATTATATTATTTTCAATTGTTGAGTAAACTTGAAGTAATTCAATCCTATTTTTAGCATCCTCTTTTGACTTTGTTGTCTTCAGCCCCTGCATGCAATGCAAACGAACTATTAAAAAGAAAGGTCTTTCCTGTTTTTTTTCAGGTTTCCAAAGACTGTGACTGTTCCAATGCTATAATGCCAAAGCTGCAGGGTTTGCTGAATGTTTTGGAATGTGATATGATCTGTATTCTTTAACCATGATAATGGCTTGTTGGTTACATCGTATGGTGGTTTTAAGTTTACTGTAAAACTTGTTTCCATTCAAAGAATGTTAGATACATGTACATAATGAATGTGGTAATGAATATTCCTATACTGTCAGTGTCAAGAGAGGCCTGTCAAATAATTGTTATAGGAGTTTAATTGTTGCAATATCATTCTCTGTATCTTTTGTACATTATTTCTTCTTTTGTGGACAAAATAGTTTTATTGATACAAGAATATTGAGCTCTAAGTTCAAGAAATATTTTCTTATGTGCAGAATGTTTTTCTCATTATAAGAACTGTTAGCTAGCTCCTAGCTCAAGAAATGTTTTCTTGTATACAGAATGAGGTTCTTGCTACAAGAATAATTAGCTCTTAGTTCAAGAAATTTTTTCTCATGTGCAGAATGGTTTTCTTACTATAAGAACAGCTCTTCAAGAAATGTTTTCTTGTATACAGAATGATTTTCTTGCTACAAGAACAATTAGCTCTTAGTTCAAGAAATTCTTTTCTCATTTGCAGAATGGTTTTCTTACTATAAGAACAGTTAGCTCTTAGTTCAAGAAATGTTTTCTCGTATACAGAATGATTTTCTTGCTACAAGAATAATTAGCTATTCGTGCAAGAAATCTTTTCTTATGTGCAGAATGGTTTTCTTATTATAAGAACTGTTAGCTAGGCTCTTAGTTCAAGAAATGTTTTCTTGTATACAGAATGATGTTCTTACTACAATAATAATTAGCTCTTCGTTCAAGAAATATTTTCTTATGTGCAGAATGGTTTTCTTATTATAAGAACTGTTAGCTAGGCTCTTAGTTCAAGAAATGTTTTCTTGTATACAGAATGATTTTCTTGCTACAAGAATAATTAGCTCTTAGTTCAAGAAATATTTTCTTGTCTACAGAATGGATTTCTTATTACAAGAGCAGTTAGATCTTAGTTAAAAAAATCCTTTCTTATATACAGAATATTTTTCTTATTACATGAACAGTTAACTCTTAG